ACTGAGTGTCTGCTCCTCCCTCCCCCAAGTTTTATCTAGTTGGGTGCTGTCAAGAGGGCTGTTGAGTGACTTCGCCGGTTGATTCGTGTCGAGTCATTCCACAGCCCTCTTGACTGTCTCACAGCATCCAACTAGATACGACATGTGAGGAGGGGGCGCAGACAACCAATCGTTCGTGTCTCCACGTTTTGTTTTTCACTAACCATTCCTCGCCAGGTATTTCATTTTTCGCTCCTATTTTAACCATCATACATGTCCTGACCTGATAACGAGATTCCAAGACCATTAATATTCATCACTGTGTTCTTTTGCAAACTCTCTAGTTGTTTAATTGTGAAGAGGGTAGTGTAGTAGCGGTTCATAGTTCAAATCCTGGAGCGACCAACGTTAGACACTGTTAGCAAGATCTAACATCCTCGTGGTCACTTTTCATGTTAGATGTTCCTGGTTACGCATAAAATGGTAATGGTATGGTTGATAGAGTTGATAAGCGTAGCATGGAATCGCCTTAGTGGGCTGGTGGGTATGAACCACTGCTGTGCCAGAATATTGAATAGTTGGAGCATAAGGACATCTATCTCCTTAAAAAAGACAATTTCTGAAGAGCTCTTGGACACAAAATAACTTTTATTATTGCGGTTAGAATGTATGTTACGTGTTCCCGATTATTCTCCTTCCTGCGAAGAAACCTTTCCATCGGGGGAAAGTCTTGACGTCGCTGAGGTTTCTTTGAAGGAAACATATTGTTGTATATATGAATAACATTTCAGGTGGTACAGGCCTGGGGAATATAGAACCTGAACGAACTCGGTGACTCCTGGGGTTCAAGAAGCTCTGAGAAGTACGCAAAACCTCGAATTCAAACCATCTGAGCGGTCCAAATGATGCTCACTGCCAGGATAAGTTTGGCCAGAGTAGATGGGACATCTACTTTCTCCGCGAACAGTGGGAATCAAGTCACATATTAGGTGATAAGAAGGTTGGATTTGTAATGCACTACTCAAAAGGTTGCTGAAAATCCGTCGACAGCCCATGACCGGTTTCGCCCTTCTTGGGGCTCATCAGGTAGGCGCAGTCCCCGAGTTTCCGTCAATCTTGAAAACAACTTGCACAATATTAGCACTCATTTGCAAACTAATTTGGTTTTTCAAGAGACTCATCTGGATTTGATTTGATCTATTTTGAGAAACATGAATGGTGGTGATGAAAAATGAAAGTTGTTTGGGGCCTGAACCTAGATGGAGCCAGACATGAATTCGAAACTTAGATTTGTGCTGAAGGCAAGCTCGAACAAAAACCAGTCTTGTCGCCCTACAACTGAATGTGTTGCAGGGTGGACACCGAATGTTCCGATGGAAACAACATTCAAGTTGTTTTGGTCGACATTCACTGTGTAAATGGTTTTTTAACTTCCTCCCATGGACACGTTGGTGCTCTATTTGGAAATGAGACAGATGGGAGCTCGGGGACTGCGCCTACCTGATAGGATCCGCAAATTTCGGAATATCTAATGGGCTGTCGAAGAGTTTTCAACAAGCTTAACATACAGTCGAGAGGTCGAGCCAGTACCCTCTGGGTTTCAGCTGTGCGGCCAGAGTTTTCTTATTCCTTAACTCATAGTGTGTGAAGAATCGAGGTGAAGAGAATCAAATGATGTGGCTTGTGCAGAAAACCCACAGGATGGACTACCGACAGGAGCACTGGTGGTTTGACAGTGCCGATAGATTTGTGCCGGATCTACTACCCATAGATACCCAAAATCGTTCTGTGCTTTTTACACGTTCCACTTGGTAGTCGGAATGTTTACATTTCAGTTGTTGTACAAGCTGGGGGGAAAGCATTGGTGCTCAGGGAAAGTACAGAGAGAGAAAGTACACACGGATTCCGAACTGAGTGACAGTTTCTGCTAGGAATGAAAGCAAATTCAGTTCACGTGTTCACGTTTCGGTAAAGCACATGTGCACGCACTTTTCCATGTGAAAACTCATCTGGATGAATTGATTCATTTTCAGAAGGTAAAGTTTCAGTTGTGCTCTGGAAAGCTCATTTTAAGCAAAGTAATTAACACCCGATGAGAGCACATGACATACGTCCGCCCTGCTCTATGAGTGTGGTTCGCCCCGCTGTTGAGATTTCACCTGTCGTCCTTAGATAAGCTGGGACACTGCGAAATGCACTCACCTGCATGCCCATTTGGTTTTCATGGGAGACCCAACCGAATCTCTCGTTCGTGATGTTCCTCGACTGTATGAGCTGCACCAGGCCACCTCGTGATTCAGTTGGCACAATATTCGAGATATCGCTGTATATTTTCATAAAGGAAACTACTCACAAGATTACTGAAAACCCTTAGACAGCCCATAACCGTTTCGCCCTTCTTGGGGCTCATCAAGTAGGCGCAGTCCCCGAGTTTCCGTCAACCTTATGATCTACTTGAACCCAAATTGCACGAAATTATTGAGGTAGACTAATTAGCAAACCAGTTTGGCTTTTTTAGGAGATCCACCCGAAACCCAGCTGAATCTCTCGTTTATGATACCGAGGAATTTTCAGCAACTGTATGAGTAGTGTGTTACATCGATATACATACCGTGATATCTCAAATATCGTACTAACTAGAACATAAAGCGGCCTGGTACAGCACATTCAATGGCTTGAAAACGTCAAACTAAGAGACGTTTCTTGATGAGAAAATGCAGTGACAGGAAACACTGATTTTTACACTGATTTTAGATAAGAACAGGTGTACTCTTTTAAACAAAATTCCACGAAATTAGCGAAATACACTCGTTTGCAAACTAATTTGGTTCTACGAGAGACTCATTTGGATTAAAGCTGAATCTTACGTTTGTGATGTTTTCATGCAACTGAATGTGCTGCACCAGACCGCCTCATGTTTCCGTCGCTACGATATTCGAGATACATATATATTCGAAATACACTACTCATAAAGTTGCTGAAAATTCTTCGACAGACCACGACCGATTTCACTATCCTTGGGGCTCATCAGGTAGGCGCATTCTCCAAGTTTCCGTCAACCTTATGTCCTACTTGAACCCAAATTGGGCTGTTTTCGAGAAATACACTCATTTGCAAATCAATTTGGTTTTCATGGGAGACTCAACTGAAATTCTCGTTTATGGTTTTCTACAACTGAATGTACTACACACAGGCCGCCTCACGATTCATTTGGCACGATATTCGAGATATCGCAGCATATTTTCATGAAGGAAACTACTCACAATGGAAACTATTCACAAGGTCGCTGAAAACTCTTCGACAACCCATGACCGGTTTCACCATCCTTGGGGCCCATCAGGTAGGCGCAGTCTCTGGGGTTATGTTCTACTGGAACCCAGGTTGCACAAAACTGGCGAAATACACTCACTTGTATATCGATTCATTTTTCACGGGATCCACGTGACTCATTCTCAAGGGTTCAAACTACATAAGTAGTGATCAAAAGTGACCATCTGGAAATGATACGAGCAACAAACACGCGTTTTTAGCGGAACACGGTTAACCAATATCAGAAAAATTAGCAATCAGAAATAACCCTAATAAATAGTCGAATAACTAGCTTTACTTAACGCGATTTGCGCTGTCTTTTTATCGTAAGACTGCCTCATAGACGGTACTTCCCAACTGATAGAACTACAAATAGCAGTCTTTTCATTTGGAAGAACAGTTCGAGGGAGATAAATCTTAAGAGGTCGAATGTGATCTCTGCGGAACGGTTTTTCCCGAAGATGGTCTCATCCTACTGGCTTCATTAACTCAAGACAAGTAAAAGGGAAAAATTCTCTGTAAAAACTGCGTTTCGAGCGGAAAATCTGTGTGGCCAAAAGCCGGGACATCTGTTGCGTCAGGTCGCTGCATCCATGGTGACAAATAAACTCTATGCTTTCTTGTCAGTCAAAGAATCTTCTAATGCTGAATTGATCTCTATGTCAATCAAAACCCGGTGAGCCGATGGTGGACGATTCTCAACAATGGACTGCCGGATAAGCGAATCAAATTGACACCGCTTACCTAGGATAGTGAGTTGGTAGCGCTACCGTACTGTTGGCGCATTGTTTAAGAGGGTAAACTCCTTGAGGAGCTCTTCTTCTCAAATAAGTGCTTCATGAAACGACAGGAGCGACAGTGGAAGATGATCGACAGACACATTCACCCAGCTGAACTGTCTGCCAGGCTGTGATCTACCAGGGCCATCTACTACCATCTATAGACGCTTCTTGGGTGGAACATTCTGGGTCCAGGCGAAAGCATCGGCTGGCATTTTGAAAAAACCTAATCAATGAAACCCATCAATAAATCTAGGCCTCAGCGCGTATCTAGTAGCAATCAAAGTGTCAATTTTCAGTTTGGATGTACTAGTCTATCGTGTATTGGGGAAGCTCTTGCCTTTTCTGAAAGAATGATTGGCGATAAAGCGACGCATAAATGATGATTTTTGTCATATTCGGTGAAAGTTTTAATAGATTTCAGACATGTGCGGTTATAAACGGGCATGGGAGGTATGCACTTCGATTCATTGCACTCATAAGACGTATGAGACACTATTAGGGCTGAAATGGGTTGCCAGCGATCGCAATCCCCAAAGATGCTACTCTGACTGGTTCACAGGCTGCTGTGGTTTGTGAGGAATCTTATCACTGGCGCCACATACGAAAGAACTGGAGTTGCTGACAATAGTGTGGATGACACTGATTCCAAAAAAGTCTCCGAGGGTGACTGCTCCGGTGTATGGCTTCTGGTTTAATAAGCCAGAAAAGAGATTGAACATAGGTGGTCATTGATGATGAGGAACGTTGCTAGGAAACGCGACAGTTTTTCGCCATTTCCTTGGAAATGCTTGTGCAACTAGTCATCTCGGCTGAAACGATTGAAACAGTTCTGAGAAGCGTGTTTCGGTTTGTCTCCCTGAGTAAGCTGCTAGAAGGACGTAGATGGATTTTGGTTCTTGCAGACTCAAGATGCTTATCTACATTGCATAACGATGGAGTGTTCTTCGTGTCCGATTCGAAGGTAACTTCTGGATATATTTTTGTAATGCGCTACTCATAAAGTTGCTGAAAACTCCTCTACAACCTTATGAGTAGTGCATTACAAAAATATATATGTATCGCGATATCTCGAATATCGTAGCGACTGAAACTTGAGGTGCCCTGGTGCAGCACATTCAGTTGCCTGGAAACATCACAAACGAGAGATTCAGCTGAGTTCCAGGTGAGTCTCTCGCAAAACCAAATTGGTTTGCAAATGAGTGTACTTCGCTAGTAACCTCACGATCAACCTTTCAGGCAAAAATTCGGACAATAAGAGGATTAAGTGAATAGGACATCCGTAATTCTCCTGGATGGGTGCCCCAGAATTGCTAAAGGACCAGCACTGTGTTGTCTCTGGATGTATTGCTAGGCTGAACAGAAGTACCGAACAGCAGTTTATTCCTTATTGGGAACCAGAAGTACTGTGTCTATCCCGAAACTCAGTTTCCAACTCAGAACCTCCTAGTTGAACACTTAAATTTTCAGTTTCAAGCTGGGGTACGCCAATGTGATTAACTCTCAATCAGACGGGAGAAGCATAATTCCACATTATGGGTGAAACTTTGTCACTCGGGGAGCCATTCAATACTTGACCACGTAATGTACTTTCTATGACTGAAGACTGACTGGGTGGCTCTACATCCTATCTAAGTGAGAGCTATTCACACTGCTGCTCAGCCGCTCATGACTGAATGGTCAAGTTTTCAACCACTGACCGGAAGGCCACGGGTTCGAAACTCTCTGTGTTTCGTGAGGTGCGCACTACTGATGATAGCCAACTAGTATGAACCAGTTGTACAGTGCACCTTGGATTTTTCAGTTGGCTTCATTTGAAAACCCCTTCATCTTCTCATGTTAACCTGGGAATTGTGACAATGATCAATGTGAAAAAAATGCGTATCTGTTATTGAATAATGAATCAGGGAATCAAAACAGAACACTGTCAAATGAAGTTCATCTACACGGGAAAGCCGAGAACCACCGCGAAATTGTCTCTTCCTCTAAAGCTCCAATGCATATTGGAATTATCGGAGCTGGAATTTCGGTATCTTCCTTCGTGTTCAATCAATAGCATATTGATTCGTGATAGTAGGCTGTCCTTTGGCTTTGAGCTATAGCTTCATATCACCTATAGTATCTTCGCAACAGATCCTTAGGGCGGTGGCGACAGAAACTCAGTGTGCTATTGATGACGAATAGGGTAATTCATCATACGTATCAGCTTAAAGGTAAAAATTTGATCAAACTCATGTCCGACCCACGGATTGTTCTTGTTTATCTAAACTGGTAAGTGTGAAGAAGCTCTGGGACGATGTGAGACCAGGGCTGTAATCTTGGTAGTCGAGAATTATACTGTTTGACCAAGAGTGTCAGGTCAGCTTACTCAGTCGCAACATTCATCCATGTTTACATGTTTATTCCAACAGTTGAGAAGAGAGAATGTCTGTCTACACTTTCGAATAAAAGAGTTTTAAGGTTTAGCGTTGGCCCGACAGTTCAAATGAACACGATGCTCAGTTCACACATTTCTCAGCCATCGTTTTTTTCACCAAACTCAGTCAACCTAACCGAGACTGGAAATTACAGCAAATTTACTTGGACCGGTAATTTGTAAAGTCTAATACCCCAGGGGAATATTGTCCGGAAAATATCGACTGTTTTTTTCTAAAGTTCCCAGACCGACGAATTTCCGGACAGCCGATAACGGAGACGAACACTGGTTCTTCGCCCCCAGATATGAATCAAACCCCCGTGGCGTTAAATTTTGAAAGGCAAACTTTTCACGAAAAGTGTCATTCACCTGAATTCATTGATTTTAAAGCTATAATCTGCATGCCGAAAAAAATTGTTTTGGCGAGAAAGCCAGCGGAAAAACAGTACCCCATTTGACAGTAATTGAATTCCGGGCAATCTATTTTCAGTACATTAAAACGAATTGTGGGAATTGATGGAGTCTCTAGAAAGATTTGCGCACAAATTACAGAAAAATCTTGAAATGTGGGATTACGTTTTAAAAAGATTATTTATTCTGATAAAGGAAACTACTCACAAGGTTGCTGAAAACTCTTCGGCAGCCCACGACCGGTTTCACCCTTATTGGGGCTCGTCAGGTAGGTGCAGTCCCCGAGTTTCCGTCAACCTTATGATCTACTTGAACCCAAATGGGACTGTTTTGGAGAAATACACTCATTTGGAGATCAATTTGGTTTTCACGGGAGACTCAATTGAATCTCTCGTTTATGATGTACTGCCATAGTATGCCCCACTGTACTCCGCGATATCTGAAAGAAAATCAATACGCGATCAAATCTAACTCTGCTAGATTACTGAGCCCTCCTCATTTTGCACTGGAACCACTAACTCAAAAACTATCGATCACCCAGTCAAGCTAGAAAATCACTCAGAGTAGATGATCACTACTCATTATAGTCTGTGTGTGGTTTCCTACTGTACATTCCTGCATCTTGTTTTTGTGTTGTTGGCTGCTGTTAGAGCCATCTCTAACTTGCCAAAATCACATGCCTTCCCTGAACTTGTACACTGTATCTAGTCCAAATTCCCACCACTTCGAACGCTGCATGACTCGGCCATCATCCAAATCTTATGGGCTGACGATTATATGAGGAAACTTTCAATGTTCATCATCATCTGGAAAGCTAAGAAGAATACTACTCACAGTTTGATGACAGTGTGGGGAATATTAACAGCGAATCCATTCTTAATGGAGATTGTGCCCTGAAAGTGGAACCATCCTATGCACAAAAGACTAGAAGTACTGTGAGTTTTTAATCCTTTTTGGGAATACTCAGCAATGAGCGTCTCACGAACCCATGATCACCAGGCAAGCGGTTTGAACGCCCAGCAGCCACGGGCGGTTGATCAGCAGTGTGGTCACATCTAATTTATACTGAATATAGCGCCACTCATCCTACGTTCATTTCACTTCAAGGTTAAAGTCCAGTGTTTATAACGGTAATAATGAGTCCAAATACATCCATCGACAGATATACAATCTTTTGACCAGTTACCTTACTTAGTCATCGTAATCTCGATTCAGCTATCCATGCTCGCTGATTTTTCTTATCGTACAGAGAGAAATCTTATCCGTGTGAAAGTGATACCACCGTTTCGTGTTTCTCTCACCCCACAGCCCTATTCAGCACAGGATCCGGCGTCAACACATGTTTTCTGTTTTTGTGCAACAGACGAGAAAGCTTTACGTCACTGGGTGTGTCGCCTTCGAATAGCGAAAGTGAGTGATTTGGAACAGGTGTGATCGACATAACAACCAACCCATTTCTCTGAGACTCACTTGTGTATATGTGTCCTAAAAAGCGTACCATTCGTAGGACTGCTACACACCCAAGTTCAATAGAGTTTGAAGTTCTCAGCCTCCCTTCTGACTGACTAGCAGCGATGATGTTCATCTTGAAAGACTAATCTGTAACAACCGTACGGTTTAACCGTGAGAGATTCCCATCCTACTACTGAATTACTGTCAGTAGTCTTGAAATTTCACACATGAGCAAGACGCTAGTTTCCAGGTCATGTGTAAGTTTGAGGGTATACTTGGGGAATAACATTGTTTTTCAATCTTGGATTCTGACGACTATATGAACAAGTTCAACACTTGTCATTCGGAAACAAATCTACAGACCTGACATGTCCAACTTTCGACAAATACACCCATTTGCATATGAATTTGGTTACATTCTTCAGCTATTAACGAGTCTTCAGAAGCTTCGTGAGTGGCTTTGTAATAAAAATGTCTGTGATCTACCTACGAGTGTTAAAGAAGGAAGGTGGGCGAAGAGCTGTATGCCCCACACTGTCCCGTTTCTCGGCGATCGGGCCTGTAGCAGCTGGAACCAATGTGCCTAAGGTACACGGTTCATAACTGCTAAATTTAATTGATTGATTGATCCATTCGCGACCTTGAGATTGACTGTGCCGCTGTATTTTCTTCCTCAGAAAAGTTTGAAGTCCTTCATGACCCGGAGTTAGTTTTGGAATTCTGTGCTTGCTGGCCTACTCAAACGCATCGTCTTAGGCAAGTGTTTATGCGAAGCTCTCCCTGCCGAAAAATACCTGAAGAATGAACTCCTGAAGAACTGTACTCACTCCGGTCGTCTGACAAACCGATGTCAGAATTCATGCACCGTTCACCAAAACCAATCAATGTAATTGGTTTAAAAGTAGTTTATTCTCTATTGGGGAATTCTACAGGATTTCTGAGCATCAGCTACTTTCGCTTCGACGTCTGGAGCTTTTGTGGACACTTGTTGCGTATGTCTAACTATCGTTTGTCAAAGAGAGTGCTGTTTTCCATGCCCAATTCAGAGTGGCGTAAACAGAGAGGTGGCCAACCCATGACCTGGCAGAGGAGTATGAAGGAGATCACGAAACGCTTGGGTGCTGTCGGTGCTACCCGCCTTCCAGGATGGGGACCGCGTGATCCTCACTGTGCCTGGTTGGAGACACTACAAGATATGGCTGCCAACCGATGACAGTGATGTTCTTGTTGTCAGTTTTTATCCAGATTGTCTAAATGAGCGCTTAGAGGTGTAGGCACCTCGAAATGATTGTGGTAAGCCGGCAATAAATCCCTTCCCCGTCCACCTTTATTCTTTTCTTCACAGTATAGCTTTCAAATAAATCATGGTTGTGCGGTTGCGAAGCATTGATGTTGAACACTGATGTCATGCTGTCGATGATGATGATGATTATGATGGTGACGGAAGCTTTTGTTTCGATCTGCTGCGCAGGATATGATGACATGACAGTCGGAAGAAACATCAACTCCAACCCGGACAATCCCTTGCGCGAGCATGCACTGATTGCTCGTTTGCTACACAGCTGATGAGTTGGGCTTCATTTGTTTTCTGATTCAGCTTTTACGTGAGCGATGAGTGCTCAGGAACCAGGACTTTGACAACTCAGAAGTAGTGAAACTCAGTCGAATATAATCAGCGTTCTCTTCGCTTCCCAACCCAGATTACAACAATGATCAACAGCCTTCTTTCCATCACAACGTAGTATGGTATGGCCCTGAGCTAAGCTGACAAGCGATCAGTGTTTACTGTTGCTTTACTCACAGTGGAAACGCCTGTTCCCAAGCTATACTGATTTTCACTTACACTTGTTTCGCTTCCGTTACGTTTTGTTCAACATTAATTTAGTAAAAAGGTTGGGGAAAATCTTCACCTTCCGGGCATATTTTCACCAGTGGCTCTTCAGAGTCGAAAACCAAGCTTGGACCGGAAATATCCCACCAGTTTAGTTTATGAAAATGTCGATCGTTTTCGGTTTCTGTCCCTTTCAGAAGAGCGGACCGCGCTTCGAGGCCTCAAATATTTTCCTACGATTTACCTACTAACTCATTAGTGAGTAGTTCAGGGTGCATAGCTTTTTCATCCGAACTGGAGGGAAACGAGGGTTTCCGAGGACAACATGACCTCATTCTGTGTCCTATTTTAGCAGCTGTTTTTCTTACTCATTCATTTTCCTCGACCTGACTATTCGCTCAACCACTCACGTTAGCGACAACCAACCCTAACAGCTCAATGAATAACTGTTTGCCTTCGATTATTTTAAATTTCTACAGTTTGGAAGGCAACTATTCGTGGACTATCAAAATGCCATGGCTCGAATACAACGGCAAATAGCCATGACATACGGTGTCCCCACTGGACTTCACGGGATGAATGGCTCACTGAGCGCATGCATTCAGCGCAAGTCTTCCTTCGATATTCTGTCTTCCTCAGCATCAACAGCTGCCCTGCTGCCCGCCGGCAGTGCTTCAAGCCTCGTCGCTGGAACTGGTTCGCCCTCGATTCCAAAGCGAAGTTGCCTTGGAAACAATTATAATTTGTATGACCAAAGGTATCCAGTCGCACCCATGACAAAAGAGGCAGGCCAGCCGCAGCAACGAAATCAAGAGAACAGCAGACCGGTTTCTCCCCTTCTCACCCGAAATACATCATCTTATTCGGCACCTAGATCACCATCTTACCAGAACAATCCAGCATTCACCCGCGGAGACCACAGTCCAGTTGCAAGGGTTAATTTTGTCCTGCCAAAATCTGGCCCCGGGACTGAGGACACATCCCAAGACGCAAAGCCCCATAAATCGATGAATTATATTTGATTTTCTAAAACTGAAATTCCAGAGTTATATTCCAGATTGTGAGCACAAGTTCTCACTTTCATTTTTGAAACTTCAAAATCGCCCTTCTGTACTCATCTGACATTTGGTAATATGATCTGTGTAAGTGTTTAGACTATTGTAAATAAATTTCCCGCACTTACCAACTATTGCCAAAAGTTGCAACCATAGATACCAACAGATCTCACTTTATGTAACCGGAAACCGCTGATCGATATAATGCACCTATCATGCGCCAACGAACCGGTTCAAGCTTCAGCTAATTCATTTATCCACACATTTGCCTTTTGGCTGTCGGCGCTTTTGGTAAACACGCTCTGCTTCCGAATTTTCTAAGCCTTTTTTCAATTATCCCAAAACTCTGTGCCCAATAACTGGGCTGTTATCCACACATTGTCCGCTGTCACTTTCTCCACTGATTTAGACAATCGACGAACGTTCCAATACCCTGTTGTGTATCAGTCAAGCGCAGTTGGCGAGTTTTCAAATTTGATAACTCACACGACAATCGCATGATTATACTTCCCACCAAAAATTTGGCTTTATCATTCGATTGCATTGCCTTTTGACCTTTCTGCTTTTGCAACATAATACTTCATGGTTTTTATTTCCCAGTTCTTTGAGTTAAGCATTGGTGCGTTGTGATCGCAGGTAGCTTTTGAATCGAACTTTGACGTAATTGTGACAGCTGTCTTCCCTTTTATCTCGTGCATACAGGCGACATGCCAGTTCTTGATCAGTAATCCGACAAAAACACGGATCAAGTGGCACGTTCTTGAGAATAGACCGTTGGAGTCATGGCTGATATAAAGAACAGCGTAGTGATGATACCTACCTACCTGTTTGACGGTTACACTACGGACTAACATACGAGTAGTGTTGGTCAGATAGTAAAGCACCGTTTATGCATGTGACGTAATATTGATCTGTGAATTATTGATCGCTTTTTGCAGTAACGGTTTAGTTCGTATCCGCCGGCAAACAATCTGCGTCCTGGGAGCGCCGTCCATTTTACCGGGAACAGGCAGGTTATTGATTCTAGCCACACGAGCAATCTAATACACACACAAGAAGAGTCGAGTTAGAGTCCACTACAGCCTGCAGTGCCACGCACCACTTCTGTCAAGCACGTCTTTGGTTGGTGATTCTCTCCAATGATTCGTTTAACCGGACACTTTAAATCTCCGCCTGCTCTGACAGCCGCGGCTTTGCTGCTCGGCACGCACGGGCTGTCTGAAACTAACCGTCTTTGGCTTATACCGTGCGGCAAATCCGTTTAAGACTGCCGATTCGAGTGTAGATGGTTGATGTTCTAATGGCTGGTGATCATTTCCACGATAAATTATCCCTGTATTTGATAGTATGTTGCACCAGACGTAGTTTGCTCACGCGAATAGCAGCCATGTTCTGTTATCAAAATTGTTGGATAAATTAGCGTTTTTTACAGCTAGAGCAGTGTGCTCCATAAAACAGTGATGGAAAGTTGGTGAACCAGAGCAGATTAGAAAAATACGCGCGCTGTTGTAACTGACTGCTAATGCCCTGGTGTCGGAAAAAGACTCGCCAACGGGGAACACAGCTGCTTTATTGCAAACAACCGAGTGGAATAGTTACAAGGGGCGTCACGGTCTTTAAAGCCCACTTTGAACCCTGATCCAGGCTGTTCGATCAGTAGTGGATGAACACTCATCATCGTTGGCCGTACTTCGATGACATGTCAGAGACTCATCATCGTCAATCGATTCTGATTTGACTGACTGTTTGGGTCGTAGATGGGAAGCTGGCTTTTCTGGCCTGAATGCTTGAGGACCTTTTCACTGCGGTTTTGGTTGAGTTTGAGGTTTTCAATAGGTTTCTAGCATTCTAGGATTATTTTTACGAACCTGACATTCCTGACAGTGGCTTATAGGGAAATCTCTTCGAACATCAAAAGCGTCAAAGTGAAGACCTTCAGTTACTTGGAATCAGGAGAGAACACCTATCAGGATAGATAGGTGATCCGGTACGCATTAAGTCAGCTGATATGGTCGGAAGCACATTAACTGACGCTCCCTCCGTTTTTCTAGCTAGACACCTAGCGGTCAAGCTAACAAGAAGGAATTAGAGTGTGAGGGTTGTAAATTCAAACGCAACGGTCCATTAGTGGTGCTTGTCATTGAATGTGATCCAAAAAGCCTTCCTTCTGTGTGCCTAAACCAGCACACACTCAAATGGCAGTAAGCCGGTCAGTGTGATCAAATAATGGGACTTGGATGTACAACCACTTCGGTTGAACTGTGTTAATTCACGTATCGGTCATGAATTAGCAATGTCTACCAAGCGGCTACCTAAGGCAGCCATATGATCACGTGTGCATCATCAAGCGCAAAACAGATCAGTTTTTTGCTAGATCGATAGCTTGTTGATCTTTGCTCACAACAGCAATCAGTGAACATTTATGCTTGTTTCAAGGATTTGCTCTGCTGAAAAAAAAAAACAAAGATATTGAGGATGAATGTTTAATCTTACTAGAAGTGTTCGAATAGTGGGATTAGTGGTGGAGTCTGCTAACAGCCTAATGATACATGGCCGCATGAGCACTCCATATTCCGGTATAACAGTCTGGACATTGGAACACGCTGTTTAATGGCGTGCGTGTGTGCATTGTCTGCATGTCTGAAGAATTTTGGGTGAACTTGACGGGTCTACTGTTTGTGAGTTAGATGGAAGCGCTTCTCCACGCGTCCAATGGGCTGGATGCTTGCGTTCTGTTTGTCTGTTTGTGCTGCTTCGCTTCAGTTGATGAAGAATCTGCCCTTTATCAGATGTCTTCAGTGCGTGATGAGGTCCACCTTGGTGACCAATTTGTGATTGACGCTCACCGAAAATAAAATGGGGAATGACTTCTTCAATTATGTGTTGAGCATCATTCGTCTGTAGTCAGCCTAAGCACTCACAACGTCACTTGGAGGCCACCAACCACTTAACGTTAGAAAGCTGTAACACAAGATTGTCCTTCATTTTGGAGTGCACCACTTGACCCTAATCACGACAATGTGTGGGTGCTTATGTCCTTTCGTTTCCTATGTGCGATACATCGTTTAGTGCAAGGGTACTCATCACCTCCAAAACTTTTTAGTAGCCCAAAAATATCTAGCTGAATTGGCTGAGAAGTTTCCAAAACTGGTCTGGCAAAATAGTGTTATGGATGACGATTAGAGAAGGATGAAATTAGTCATGCTCACAGCCTTTAAAACCGTCTGCCCTCACACCGCAATGACTACCGGTTCTTGTCACAATCAGCAATTCTGACTGAAGCCAAGAAAACTATACCAGCAACTATACCAGCGGGCAAGAATCCCTCAAGTGCAAACAATGAAGAGCCTAAGGATTGCGGGAGAGTGCCAGTGGACAACAAAAGTCCGGGGACATTGAGCAGGCTTTTGCAAAAGGAAATATCGCACCCTGTTCTAGCTACTCCGGTGAGCTTGTCCAAGAAGGGTGGGTGTTAATGATAGGATAGGATCTCAATCGACTGAATGACTTGAGCGATGTCTGAACACTTTGAAGGAAAGTTCGGCTGGATCCCATCAACTCAATGTCTGGAAATAGCTGATGAACTCGAGTGAACAGTCGTCACAAGTCCGTCGTCGACAACGGAATCCCAGCGTGAAATTTCATTGCTTCAGTGAAACAAAGCACTTGGTCTAGATGGTTCGCACCCAGCATCTGGCTGAAACCTTCAAGCTTCAGCAGTTCACTGACACAGTCCCGTTTACTCTATGTTCTGAGTGGAGCCGAGCACATGCATGCCAAGTGACAATTTCTCATGTCACATGTGCACTCACATCGTGCCAAGTGATAATTTCTCATGTCACATGTGCACTCACATGAAATGTTGTACACACACTACGACCCTACGCTTCTAATCATCCTGATGATCAACAGTGCAGAATATGGGATCGATTAGATCCTGGTGCATTGGCTTCCGAGAGGATCAAAAGAAATTAGCGGATATGCACTCATCTGCAAACTAATTTGGTTCTTCAAGAGACTCCCTGGAACCCAGCTGAATCTCTCGTTCGCGATGTTTTCAGGCAACGGAATGTGCTGCACCAGGCCGCCTCATGTTTCAGTCGCTACGATATTCGAGATATCGCGATACATGTATATCTTTGTAATGCACTACTCATAAGGTTGCTGAAAATACTTCGACAGCCCACGACCGGTTTCGCCCAAGAACTTAGTAATTCAATGATTGCATGACTAATGTGTCACTGGTAGAGTTACAGACTTCAACAAATACTGACCTCTTCAGTAAAGTCTCGATGAAACTTCGTCGGAACAGATGCGTCCTCGTAACGCGACATCCTCTGGACAC